TTGGTTTGGATTGGTTTTTTTGTTTTGGTAATATGCTGGGCAGAGTTAACTTAAAATACTTAAACTATAGTTAATCCATATTTTTTTAAATTTAAAAAACTAATAATACAGTTAACTAAAAATTAATTAACTAATTAATTTAAAAATACTGAACTATTTTATATTAAGTACAGTTAACTGCAGTTTAGGTTTATACATGCTTTCCCAATCACGGCTTCATTTTGCTTTCTGTCTTACATCCCGTTCATCCTACTCACTCGATGCTGCTGTTGAAGGCTGCCGTCGAGGTTACCGCTGTTGAAGGTTCGCTGCCGTCGAAGGTTCGCCGCCGTCGAAGGTTCGCCGCCGTCGAAGGTTCGCCGTCGTCGAAGGCTCTCCGCTGTCGAAGGCTTTGCCACACTCTGCCGTCACCGAACTGTCGAAGGTTCTACCACCATCGTCGAACACTTCTGAGAACACTTTTCTCCTAAGGTACGAATGTTTTTTCTGTGTTGTTTCAAACATTTTTGAAATGTATTCTTAGTTGTTCAAACATTTTGTAGACATCTGGTAACAATTGCTTGTACGTGGAGAGAACATTTGGGGTTCTTCCATCAGTGGCCAAGGTACTTTATTATTCCAACAAGGGTTTTAAATTACCATATGGGGTTCTTGCATCATCGCCTAAACAGTACACCATGCTTGCCGTAGTTGTCCTATTTATTGATATGAAGATTATTGTGTAGCTAGAAAAGTTAAACCAAAAAGAAGCCTCACATGCCTCTTGTTACAGTTTGTTGTAGAAGTATGAAAATGATTTTCAAAATAGTTATTTGGATAAAAACTGAGATTAAAATTGTGCCAATCAAAGTTTCCTTAGTGATTATTTCATCTCAGTAATTAAAATTGGTTTTTGTTACTATGTGTGGCCCAATTTTGTTGAAGAGCAATTCCATAGTATTATGGTACTGTATTTGATTTTATCCGATGTATTGTCAGTGTCAAAAACAACAACCATACTAAGCTCAAAGAGTCTCTCGCTAAAGTTTGATACCCTATGAATATAAAGAACAAAAAGAACAATTTTAGTTGATTTGCAATGCTTGTTATTTTTATGTCTGTTGTTCACTGAAATATTGTTTTTATTGATATTGGAAATGGGAACTTTTTAAAACGGTTGGTTCGTATGGGAACAAAAAAACAATGGGAAAGGTAAACCTTAGAACAGCCCTCTTGAAAGCTTAGAACAGAGTTAGTCTAAACCTTTAGAAAATGCCTCTTGAAAGCGTAAAACATAATTTGTTTCTGAATTGTATTATGAATCGGTCCTTGATTTGTCTTTGCTTTGTTTATAGGGAGAGGAAAATAGAAAACTTTTGGAAAGCATTGGTGGCATATTTCTCTAGAATTAAAAACCGATAATGTTTTGTTTTTTAAAATTGGGGTGCAATAAACTTTCATTTCGTTGCCCTGTTGTTTTTGGCGGGTTAGTATATTCCTCCATTCTCACCATTTTAATTTTGATTAATTTGGGTTGTATGACACAATTGTTCTCATTAGAGATAATCTGGAGGAGAGAAAGGGCAAACCGGGTTAGAGCAAAGAGAGAAGAAGTTGGATTTGACTACTTGATGGAAATTCTATCCATCTTTTTTTACTCTTATAAAATAAATCTGATTTTATGAGTTAATGTGGCCCTTTACTTATCATGGAAAAGAGATATGCTGTTGATTAGGTTAAAATCAGAGAAAAGGAAAGGGAAGAGAAAAGAAATTTATTCTGCTTGCACTAAAAATCTATTCTGCTGATTTGAAGAAGAACTGCTGCACTATAAAGATTGTATAAACTAAAAATATGGACCGATTAGAAGGTTCAATGAATAAAATTATTCATTAAGCTTAATTTAATACATGGTATCGTCGGCCTATAAAGCTTATATTAAATTTATATAAGTATACATCGTTTTTCCTCTAATTATTGAATTCTAATAATGTATTTGCCATCTCTTTAACATTGTTTTTCTGCTTTATGTCTTTGTAAGCTATGAGGCCAAGTCAAAAGATAAATTTTGTAATGTTTTTTTTTTCTCTGTAGAGTATATCCTCTGCACAGGCTAAAAGATTCACAAAACAGGGAAAGGAAAGGGCTTGTATTGAGAAAGATGTGTGGTAAGCAGTGGCATAGATTTTAAATTTGAAGAATAAAGAACAAATAACAAGAGCTTAAGTAGTTTTAATTATCTGTGCTTTTGAAGGTTGGCGAATTGATGAGCGATCCCTTTTATGAAGGGGATGATAACCAAATGTAAATATTCTACGAGATATACTGTTGATCTATCATTTTACAACTTTGATCTTGGTATTGCCAGGAGGGTAACTTATGTCGTGCATTTGGACTAATTTTAATGTGTGAATATTATATATTTGATGCCAAAAATTTTGATCTATCTTTTGGAAGTTGAGCCTTCATTTTTTCCTTAAACAGAATTATGTATGTAGTCACTACAGCAGGGAGAGATCTTAATGGCTATTATCTTCTTGAAACCATGTGTGGGATTTTGAAAAATTAGGAATCATAGATCTTATAGTTTTATATGTTGTCTTCCTCCCTTCCTCCTCTGTTAGATTAAGTAAAAATATGGTATGTACTCATACAACAAGGAGAGTATCTTTGGCTATTATATTCTTGAACCAATTTATTTGAAACCTTGAATCGTTAGGCATCTTTTTTGTTTATATTCGTCTTAATCCTTCTTCCCTGTTTGATTAACAAAGAAGCTGTTAATTTATTCACTACAGGCAAGGAGGTGCATCTTCTAGTTACGATGTTGAATCCAATTATATTTAATAATTTAGAACTCTGAATTTTTTTTAGAGTTATCACAACACTTTCATAGAGGTAGTGGAAGGATTTCGAATTTGTTTTCAGACCCTATATCCATCATTTAGATAAAGTTGGCCTTGTGTTTGATTAACTCTTAATTAATGTAGTGACGTGAATGTCAAAAGTAACGGTTAGAGAAAACCCTCACAACCAATACTTTCTAGAATGGAATTTATTTACCTCCTTGTATCGATTCATTGTAACTGAAGAATAGTGGTTCGATAGAGTGGGGACATTTTATAAACAAAAACAATATTCTGAGAAGAAGGGCCAAATGCAATTATTGTGTGATTTGATTAAATATTTGGCTGTTGGAACAAGTGGGTTTGGATGGATAGGAATCATTTGGCGAGATGTAAAGAAAATCCTAATAGAGAAGCATTCAAAAGGCAAAAGCCTTTCATCATCAACTGCAGAAGTTAGTGTTAGCCTCTTCACCAACTATTTCTAAATTTGACCAAAATGCATCTCGAATAAGTTGGTGAAGGATGGATTTGTGAAGTCTGAGCTTCCTTTTCGATTTTGTGGAAAAGAGGACTCCGTTGCTTTGTATGGTCCTTGCAACCACGATTTGAAGTCCATCCGCTACTTACTATTGGGCGGTGGTTGAAATATGGGAACTACTATGAAGAGGAAAAGCAAAGTTGAAAATGTTTCTACAAAGCAGTGTGGGAGGGTTTGTTTAACTACAAACACATGAATCAATCCAAACCTAAATTACATGAGTTTAACAGCTCTTTTATTTGAAAGATTGGAAAACTTCAAAAGCAAATTTTGAATTTTTCTCAAAAAGGGACATTCAGGGGAGCTCATTGCTATAAACATGTTGAGGCTGTGTTTGAATACATAGGGTAGTTGAGGATGAGTCCTTAGCATCACACTGGGTAATGCTACCGCAAAGATGTTGGGGTCCAGTACCTTAAAAGAAGGATGTTATCATGGAATTGTCTTGTTTTGAAGGGAGAATATGTTCATATGTGTTGTTGTGCTCATATATTAGGTTTGATTGTGAAGGATGCTTAAAAGAGATAAAAGATTCAATTTCAAAAATCCGGAGTGTAGTTAAATATGTGAAATCTTCTTCTGCTAGATTTGCTAGATTCAAGGCATGTGTTGAACAAGAGGGAATTTCTTACAAAGGTATTGTTTGTCTTGATGTTGAAACCTAGGTGGAATTCAACTTACTTAATGTTAGAGGCAAGCTTGAAGTACAAAGATGCCTTTGTCTTGCTAGATATTCAAGATAAGAAATTTGGTGTTGAAATGGCCAAAAGTAATGGTGGTGTGCCATTAGAAGAAAGATTGGGGAATATGCGAGGTCTATTCTACCATTTTAAAGATGATTTTATGACTCTACCCTACGCATTTCTGGTTCTTTATAGTCACCGAGTCCTAGTATATGAAGGAGGTGTTTGGATGGTATAAAATGGATTTGACAATATTTGGAGATAGTAGTATGTGAGCATAATTGATGGCAATGAGGAGATGGAAGGGCAAGTATGAAAATATTGGGAGAAATCCTAATGAGAATTAATATCTTATTATTGTTGTGTGTGCTTGACCTCGCGTGTGAAGTTGGATTTGTTAATTACTTCATTGACCTACCTCTTTAATCTAGTATGGGGGCGTTAGTTAATTGAAATCAAAATTATTGTCATCTTTAAAAACACTTTATGAACAAATATCAAGGTATTGAGGAGGGGTTCTCAAAGTAGCCAATAAGAATCTCAACAGATGATGTGATGATGATCCTATGGCATGACGTTTCTACCTAAAGATCTACAGGACGTAGATTTGATTATATATCAGAGCTTGATAAATACTTGAGAGAGGATCCTGAACCTTATATGAAGTCAGTTGAGCTTGATATTTTACATTGGTGGAAAGTCAACTCGACTAGATTTCCTATCCTTGCGAACATGGCTCGAGAGGTGTTAGCCATTCCTATCTCTACCGTAGCATCAGAGTGTGCATTTAGTACAGGAGGAAGAGTGGTTAGTCCTTATCGTAGTTGCCTAACGCCTAAAATAGTGGAAGTGCTTGTTTGCACACAAGATTGGTTAAAAGGAACACCTTTCTCTATACTTTTTGATGAGGATCCTAAAGAACATGATAAATTTGAGCAAGGTTAGATTATATGACAAATTTATATACTTTTTAATTTATATTTTAAGTGTTAAAAAATTATGAAATATTTTATTTTATTTTTGTAGAGATAACCTCTCAAGATGAAGTGGGACCTTCAAGTGTTGTTATTAATTTGGATGATTGAAGTTTTGCCACAATTTGTTAGTTATCTAAAGTACATGTGTGTAAGACTATAACCTTAATGCTTTGTTTTTCATGTTGTTTTGTCTTGGAAACAGTACACAAATGCTCAATATTGTTTTTCAATGCTTTACTACAGGATGATTCATACATTGAAAGCTACATAAGCACCATCAGAGTTGATTTTGTGAGTACAATATAACACCTTTTTAACTTGTCATTTCAAACTGTTGCTCAATTGATAATTACATTTTACTTTGTGTAGAAAATTCACACTGTTGAGTATTATGTCTCGTAACTGCTAGCTGCACAACTTATATGTGTACATGTCCACAAGCTTTTCAAGACAAACAAACTTAAAATTGCTTTTTTAGATTTTTGTTAGCACAATAATAACATAAGCAAATGTGAGATGGTGCCAATATATTGTAAACAAAAACTATATTTGTTTGAGCTCTGTTATGGTTTGTAAGTGTGATTAGAGGTTTAATATTTCTCATTTGTGTGTTCTTGGAACAATCACCATTTTAGTCCCTTTCTTTTCTGAATAGAGTTACATTTAATAGTTTTATTATTTCATATTAAGAAATTATGTGCTTGCTTATTTTACAGTAGAAGAGACATATTGATCTTTGTATTTATAACTAAAGGAGCAGTGATCTGATTCTCTAAAACTTTGTTATTTCAGGGAAGCAGTACATGTATGAAGCAATCAAATCTGATGACTTTGCTACTCTTGTATACACAAGTGGAACTACTGGAAATCCAAAAGGTGTTATGCTAACACATCAGAATCTTTTGCATCAGATTTGAAGTGCTTTGGAAGGCTATTTTAGGAATTTTGCGTTTACAAGCTATTTAGGATATTAGTTTCCTGATTCCTGTACAAAATGTTGCTCTTCTCATGTTTAATTTACGGGATGAAGTGCAGTTTTATTAATGCAATTTTACTAGTTAGTGCTGTAGTTATTAGTGTTGTATAGTTAGTGCAGTTCTTGGTTAAAATTAGTATATTCAGTTCAAAATTAGTATAGTTCAGTTTAAAGTTAGTATAGTTAGTAGTTCAGTTCAGTTTATTTTGTAGTTTAGTATAGTTCAGTTCAGTACAGTTTAATAAAACAAAAAATAGTTCAGTTCAGTTTTTCTGAACTATTTTTTAGTGCAGTTCAGTTTTTCTGAACTAGTTTTTAGTTCAATACAATTTTTAGTAGTGCAGTGCAGTTTAGTTTGATTTGTCCACCCCTATGTGTACTTGAATATCGATAAGTAAGAGAAATTCACCTAAAAAAGTTCCTTAACACTCAAATCAATAAGAGAATAACATTTGTATGGATAAAATGGTAAGTATAAGTTTCATTGTCTCTTTCGAATGAATAAGCATGGATCTCGGAATATATGTGTGGAGATAGACTATTAAAAGTCACATTTAATGATTATTTTAAATATAACAAAACTATCGAGATTGTAATAAGGGACTTTTGATAGGATATGTCGCTTAACTTATTTGAATTGGGTATGTAGATAATGTTTTCGAGAGTTTGATTTGGTGTATGTGTATGAAGTTATATCAGGCCTTTAGTCAAGTTTGAGTTGACTTGTATGGATTAGACATTGATCGAACTCATAATTGATTTGGCCATTTGATGACGTTTGCAAGTGGATTGGCCTCGAGGCCAAATTCTTATATCATTTGGTCATTTGTCCGAGTTTGCAAGTGGATTGGCCTTGAGGGTGAGCTCTTTAAATGGCTAATCTAATCAGACTCTTTAAGCGGTTCATCTAGCTAAACTTTTTAAATAATTTGGCCTCGTGGGTGATCTTTTTTAAGTATGTAAGGCATTCGACCAAGCTCACAAATACGTAGGCCATTCAGTCGAGTTCTTTAGTAAATTGGCCTCGAGGCCTAACCATTCGGCCATGCTCTTAAGTATATAGGCCATCTGTCCAAGCTCTTTAGTAAATTAGCCTGAGGCCTAACCATGTGGCCAAGCTTTTAAGTTATATAGGTCATTTGACCGAACTCTTAACTACATAACTCATTCAACCGAGCTTTTTGTATATTGGCCTCAACGCCTGACCATTTTATCATGCTCTTTAAGGAAGTAGGTCATTCAACCGAGCTCTTAAATACATAGGTTATTTGGTCGAGCTCTTTAGTAAATTGGCCTCAAGGCCTAGTCCTTTGGTCATGTTCTTTAAGTATGTAGGCCATTTGGTGGAGCTCCTTAGTAGATTGGCCTTGAGGCCTGGCCATTTAGTTGAGCTCATTAAGTTACTACTTTAGAATAGCCCTTTGTCGACTTTAGACAATTTCTACTTAGTGTTGTCATCTTTAGGTAGGCTTTGTTTTGACACTGATGACTTCGGACAAGTTTCACTTTGTCGACTTCGAGTAGGCTTCAGTTTTGATGTTTCCATCTTGTTGCCAACTTTGGGCAAGTTTTCTTTATCCTTTACCGACTTCGGGAATATTTTCTTTACTCTTATGGCAAGGATAAGGTTAAGAGTGATATTCCTTTGGTGAGGACATAAGTGCATTATCATACTTAACAATGGGGAGAGAAAAACTGACGAGCTTCATCCATTATTTGTTAGTAAATAACATATACTTAATTTATGCATTTCTAGGTTTGTAGGACATGCAAGTGAATGGTGGAGTCATAGGGAATCTAGTATTGAGAAAGGTAGAAAATCCCCAATTAGAGATTAGTATGATTTAAGACCATACATGAGAAGAAAATTTGTTTCTCCTTCATTTGAGAGAAACCAAGAGCTAATATGTGAGATGAGAGAACTCTTTAAATGAGGAAAATCATTCAATAAAAATGTATATGGGCTTTCTTGTAGAAAAGATGAGTTTGAAGAAAAAGTGAAAAAGTTCTTAAGTGTAGAAAGAAGAAGAGAAATAAAAAAAGAGGGATGCGCAATTAAGAGAGTTTAAAAAGAAAGAAAAAGAGGAAGGAGGTAAGAGAGTTGAATATAAAAGAAAGAGAAAGGAGCTAAGAGAGTTGAATATGAAAGAAAGAGAAAGGAAGACTAGAGTAGAAAGAAAGAGGTGCAAGATAGAAGAAAGAAAAGAAAGAAAGAGAAGGAGGAAAGAAACATAATGAATAAAAAAGAGAACAGAATGTGAGAAAAAAAAGTATATTAGAGAAGAGAAAGAGAGGAAACAAAATCTTGTTAAAGGAGAAATGTTACTACAACTATCTTCTATCTTCCACTCCCTGAATATTAATTGAAACAAAGGTGATTAAGGGAGTTTTTCAATCCTTGAACTTTTCTTCATTTATTATTAAGTCTTCATTCTTTGTTTCCAACTTTTTCTTTGAAAATGTTTCAATTTCACCTCCATCCTTCATTATTTTAAACTCCTCATTAGATTTCTCAAAGTCACACTTTAAGTTAATGTTATCTAGGTTACAATTAACTCAAAGTGGACACCAACACATGGATTTTCTAATTTTTCATGAAAATGTTATCCAAACTACAAGAAGGCATTCTAGTGTTGTTCTATTTAGATATAATTGTCTTATGGTACTAAAATTAATTTAAATTATTTTTTATGATTACTATAGACAAATATTTGATTCAGGAGATAATAAACATTTAAAGTTGTGGGTCCTAAGACATCCTTTTTGAGCTAAGAACAAATCCTTTCAAGAGAGAGGGAACGATAACAATCACCCTAAGGGCTTACAACACAGGTCAATGGCTAGGACTAACTTTAGCTTTCTTGTTTCTAAATATACAAATAAAATAATGTTGTATAGGTTTTCTTGTACATTCTTTTGGTTTTGTATTTTTGAACTTTGTATTTATGGACCAAGTTTTATGTCGACCTTTATTTGTTACCGATTGAGTTCTCCTTACTCAAACCGAGTTCTTCTTTTTCTGGCAGAGTTTTTAGGCCGACTTGTCGAGCTTATAGGCCGACCTATTGGGCTCTCCTGCATCCACAACAATTCTTCTACACCTAGGACTCCTAAAAAAATAGAGTTGTAGAAAGAAAAAATAGGTCTTTAGAAGAACTTGCTAGAACTATGTTAAATGAATACAATGTTCCTAAGTATGATTGAGTTGCTTTCCCAAGTACTGCATATTATGTGTTAAATAGAAGCTCATTAGGCCAAATTTGAAAATTACTCATTATGAATGATTTAAAAGTAGAAATTAAAAGTTTGCATGAGAAGAAACTTTATTCCTCCTTCATATGGTTTAGAAGAGGAACCTCCCTAAAATTTTCAAAATGGTTTATTAAGGGGTTTTCATAATTTGGTCCATTACCATTAATCTTCCCTTCTTAAGTTACTGAAGTTTACTTTTATTTTTGAGAAAAGACTTTGTTTGATTTTGGATATAGATTCATGTTTTGTTGTTACCCAATCTATAACCTGGATTGTAACTTGTGAATACATTATTGAACCAAAATATGAAAATATAGACATCAAATCAATGTAAAGAAAGTTTAAGATCAAATGGTGGCCAAAGTGTAATACAAACCTTATTACCAAAAGAAATATTAATCAATGACAAGCAAATTATCGACAAAAAAAGGAAGAAAAAAACTTATCATTAAGCCAAGAGTCAATATTCTTAGCACAAAAACAAAGATTATTAGTAGGATTAACAACAACAATCATGAAGGAATTTGAACAAGTGATCAAGACAAAATCAATAACATCAAAAATAGATTATAAAGAAGAAAGCAATCAATTGAAGATTGAAGAAGAAAAAAAACACTTGACAAAATTCTCTTAGTTGATGGTTGAAAAAGAAAAGGCAAAAGTGACAAGATGTTCATTATGAAAAGTTTGACAATTTGAAAGAATCTTAAATACTAAAAGTAAGGACAAAATTATACATTATATAAAGGTATTGCAGTAAGTTCTAGTGTACTTATATGTATCTATAAATAAATGTCTTTTTAAGGTCTTGTTCACTTCAAAGGATTTACTATTTAAAGAGATTGAGAAAGACTGATTTGGGAAGAAAATGTGTGTTCGTTTCTATAGATTTGAGGTGATTGTGAAGGATTTGTGGGATTGGTTTAATCCCCTATCTTGGGGAAGAGAAGAGATTTGCGGGATAGAAAAGCATTTTACAATATTACCCATATTTAATAATAATAATAATAATAATAATAATAATAATAATGGAATTTTAAAAATTAATTTCTATTTTTTTCTCT